CTTGGTCTTTTGCATTGAAAGGAGTTTAAAGAAACGCTTTTACTGAAAGAATGACTTATTCTCTATGGAATTATTCACCACAATGAAGTGGGAAAATTTATGAAAGGGATGGTAACCAGGAGTCTTCGACATAAAATTTGGTGCCTGTTAAGTCTGAGACCACTTGTGAAGGTTTCTAAAGAACCTCACACACCCCACCCACCCCCCCACACACACAAGCCAGAGAATTAGAAAGATTGGACATAATGCTGGTGGGTGACCTCTACTAATTACAGTTGTTTCCCTGGTAGGTAAGACAGTGGGTACCCATGGATCAAAGCTAGAAAGACAGGGAGTTCAAAGATTGATAATCAAAATGGCGTCACTATCCATTGTTTTCCCAGCTATTGAACAGTATTGAAAGTATTATTTATGCACAACATTGTAGAGTTGCTGTTCGATCTTCAAAGTTAAGACAGCCATTATTTTGCACAACTGTTGATTGAAAGGAAATAGCATAACTTGCCTTCCAAGCTACAAAGTGATGCACGCTATGATGTATGATTTCCAGAGAAGATGGTCATGTGACCGAAAGGGTATAGCAATCCCTTGCTTTCCAAACTGTTGAGTAAATTGTCTGATACAAAACGTCGCTCTACATTTCAAGGGAATCATTCTCATGATCTAGTTAACTTGTGAGAACACTACAGATTATGTCACCCTGTACTCATTAGATTCTGACACTTATTTACCTCAGAAGTATACCGAATCTATGAGCTGCAAGGGAGTTGTGGTTCGTCTGAAAAGCACAGTAATCAGAAGCATAGTCATGGAGACAAAGGATTTTATCTCGACATTAAAATTTGAAGAATATGAGGTTAACTGTGATAACTGATGTGGCCGCTTAACTATGGCTAGAGAGAAAAACAGTTTAGTTGGTGTTTCATAAAACAATTTTACTTGGAGGTTCTAGCAGTACAATTTTACCTGTTGTTTCTCGTAGTGCAGTGGAGAAAATATTTCGACTTAATGGGGTTGAAATATTCATAAGCAGGTGAAATTATCAGTATAACATGAAATTCACAAGTTGTGACTAAGATATCACAACAAATATATGAACGTTTTATTTGTTTGTGATACTAATATTTGCAGTCATGCAAACTGAAATATTTTTACCCAAAAACTTTCTTATTGTATATTTTCTTAACATTGTTTCTGTACAAGATTCAGTACTAAGACATAAAAATGTAGGTTGTACATATAATGATGTATGTGTGGGGG